TTCAAACAGATATTTAAATTATAACTCTCATCACCCAACACAACATAAAGCCACAGCAATGAAAACATTAGTAAATAGATGCTTATCACAAATTAATGATAAATATAATTTAAATAATGAATTAAATTTATTAAATAAAATATTTACAGAAAATAATTATCCTAAAAAATTTATAACAAATACTATTAATTCATGTAAAAACAAATATCACAAACAAAACAAAATAAATATTAATAAATTTGATATTACAAAAACAATTTGTATACCATATTATAAACACTTAAGTGAACAAATCAAACAGGAATTGTATAAACATGAAATAAATGTTATTTATAAAAAAGGAAAAAATATTAAAAATATTTTAAATAGTAATCCCAAACCCACTTTTTTAAAATCAAATATTGTTTATGAAATTAAATGCAATGAATGTGATTTTGTATATATTGGTACTTCTAATAGAAATTTAAAAAATAGAGTAAATGAGCATAAAAATGCTATAAAAAATAGTTATATAAATAAAAGTAACATTGCTTTTCATGCAATAAAATACAAACATAATATTAATTTTGATGATATTAAGATATCATATATTGAAAATAATTATAATGCTAGACTATTTTTAGAAAGTTGGAGAATTGAAACTTTAAAATCTAAAAAACAAAACCTAATGAATGATAAACAAAACTCCAAAACATGTATACCTAATTCATATTTATCTTTAATTAAATAATATTTATATTCATTGAATAATTATGTAATGCCTTTCAGATAACAGCCCTATATTGGGCTGTTTCTGTTGGCATTGTATATACAATAATAATTTTCTCATTAAAATTATATTTAAAAATTTCACAAATCTATAAACATTCACATTATATTGAATTACTTAAATAAATACACAATAACTGCATATCTCGAACCCCTCGCACCCTAACCTCACTAATGGTAAACACACGGCTCTGAGATATATCTCAGTTGACCGCCAGTGCTGATGAAGGAAAGTAGTATCTCTTTCCGAAACACGTGTCCAATATATCGCTAGTTATTGCGGTTAACTAAGTTTGGCCAACAAGTAAGTGATTAAATCACATAAATTTATTAAAAAATATTTCTTATTTTTGGCAATCATTTATAATTGCTTTAAATCATTAGTCTCTATCTCTCTCAACTCACTAAACAAACTATACTACAGTTAAAATTATTATTTTATATTTATTGTCATTTTATTTGTATAATACAAATTTAAAAAAAAAGTTAAATGAATTATAAATTTATTTTTTCTATTTGTTATCTTATGATACCGTAATAATAATAATAAGCAAAAATATTTTTGTATAATTAAAATAATAGAAAAACGATATTATTTTTATGTTTAAAAAACTAAACAAAAATCTTATTTAATTTTTATGGCACACATATTTTTATGGTCGTCCAATTAATTGTGTGATAAAGMATTGGGTAATTAAATTGAATTACAAAAAAAACAAATAATAATAATATTGTATTTTTGTATTTCATTTTTATTACTATTGAAAATCTTTTGATGAATTATGAAGCGATAACGGATTTATGGAAATTTTTTACTATATATTTATAATTTATTATTTTTTATTTATAATCATTTATTTAAAAAAAAATTGTTAAAACATTTTATTGAAAATATTAATTATGATTATAAATTATTTATGAAAAAGGGTATTCAAAATTTTAACGGGTTTTCAATGGCACACAAGATTTATGTAATTAAAGCAGTAATTAAATAACAAAAAGTTTAATTTTATAATAATTTGCATAAATAATATAAAATAATAATAAAACTTATATTATTATCAGTTATCAAAATGAGATATTGTTTATCATATAAAATATTTAAATATCTGTGCAATAGTTGGATAGTGATAGAGAAATGTGAATAAAACATAAAWATTTTGCAAATACTATATTATTTAAATTATAATATTATTATATAAAAACTCATTTGTGAAGTAAAACAAACAAAAAACAATTTAATAATAATTATAAGCTATGCAAAAAAAACTATGTGATAATTGCTAGTTATTTGCAATGAAATTTATTACACAATATTATAGCGACTGTCTAGAAATAATTATAATTATATATTTTTATTTTTTATTTAATTTTTTAAACATAGTGTTAAATAATTTTATTAAATTAAMAAATATTTTTTTTGTTAATTATATTATTGAAACATTTTCTACAAACTTATATACCTCAAGGTTTTTCACTAAATGCTAAAGAAATTAAAAAATATATTTTTTATAAAGTTAAAACTATTGTTTTAATTAAATTATTAACTTTTATTTTAATTTCTACTACTATATATACAACATATAAATCTTACATTTTTTATTATTCAATGTCTACATAGCATATAAATCAATACAACATTTATCTCAAGTTTTTGTATAATAAAAAATATATGAAAAATTAAGTTTTCAACAATTGTTTTAATTTATTTTGTTTGTTTGCTATGTTTTGTTATAATGACAATTATAACTATTGTCACGAATTTTATATAAAAATAAGTGGATTAATGGCACTCAATGTACGCTAAATTCATATTAATAACAATTTTAAATAAATTAATTTCATATTAAAAACAGTCTATTTTCCCTACCTATTTATATCTATATTTAAAATAATAATAACAATAATAATATATTTTAAGTAAGTGTTTATTTGATATATTATATCAAAACATCTAGTGATAAAAAACGAAAACAAAAAATACTGTATATAATAATAAAACTAAATTTTTATAGTAATATTATGTCATTATTAAAATAACATGACTTGTCAATTGGGGAAAAAGTAGTTAAGCAAAATTTAGTAGCAAAAAAAATAGTCAACAATATTAAATAAATATTTTTATAGTTTAAAATTATATATTAAAGTAGACATTTTTAGAAAAAAATTGTTATAAAAAAATAACAACAGTAACAAAATTAACTGTTATTATATTATCACAAAAAATAATATCAACTATTAACTTATATTTGTATATTTATATCACTGGTACTTACTTTTATCCCTATTATTATTATACTGTATAATAGTATAATAGTACTGTAAATAAACTGTTATATTGTAATATTTAGCGCTTAAATTTTAATTCACTTTTAGTTTATTTATTTTTTTGCAAACATTTTCTTTTGAAAAACATTTAATTTTGTTATCTTAAAATTGAAAAAAACATTACTATTAACATCAACAACAAAAATATTCAAATATTTTGATGAATATATAATTAACATGTGGTTGAAAATAACATTGTTTAAACTAAGGCTAATCTCAACTGTAAATATCATACAATGTTGTTGTTGTTGTTTTTTAATGATATATAAAAAATAAATAATTTTCTCTATTAAATAAATCCGTGAGAATTCACCACCAATTGTAACCTAATTTTTTTTTTAAATACATACGAGGCTTATATACGATATATATTTAAAAACCATATGTTAAATAATAATAATAAATTAAAAGTAAAGATTAAAAAAGTATTTTTAAGTTTATTTTAATATTGAAAATATATTTTCCTGTTAATTACAACATTAAAGAGAGAGAGAGAGAGAGAGAGAGAGAGAGGCTTACGTAAAATAATAATACAGTAATAATCAATAATATTTTAATCTGAGATTGAAATAAAAATAAAAATGAAACCAAAAAACTAAATATTCATTCAAATAATAATAACAACTATTTAAAAATTTTATAATCAGTAATTGCATGACTAGTATTGGCCGCAAAATATATGTGTCATTAAATGAACACTAGATTTTTGTTGGGATAAGTGATGGGAAACTGATTTAATTCATTCAATTCATGGCATTATTTATCCGTACAATGTATTCAACAATATTTTTTCAATTATCAATGTATATATAAGTTACTACTACTAAATACTTCTACATTATAAAAAAATCTGATAATAAAATAGTATATAAAATTTTTAAAAAACGCATTTTAATCTTTAATATTATTTATCACTTATTCTACAGACAATAAGTCTTTTTAAGGATTAAATCAATTTTCAATTCATTTTTTAAAAAAAGTAAAATAAAATAAATGAGAGACAAATGAAAGTCGATTTTTGATAACAAAAAGAAAGAAAGATTGCCTTTAAATACATATAGATATATACAGTATATAAAACTCTTTCTCTCTTCAATCACACAATAATCGTAATAATGAATACCTTATAATTTGACACAAATTAAGTTTTATTCAATCAACTGAATTATTCTATAAAATGAGATTTAAATACTATTTGTTTGATATATATATATATATRTATAATATTGTACTGTATATTGTAATACGAAATGAGTGAAAGAATAAAACTACTATTTAGGAAACAAAATAAAAATATTTAAATAAAAAAACATATATGAATTGACAGTAAATTAATTTGTGTACTACTGATAGCACAGTAGTAAAAAAAGTAGTGAAAAATAACAAATTGTTTTCGCATTTTTAATAAAATGTATTATTTATTATCAATTAATATATTTTTAAAATCTTCAAATTAGCTTTTGTTGAAAGTGAAAAAAAATCACTTTTCTATAAAACATTTTTTCCGGACTTAATTGAATGGTATTTAGATAATAGCATTAATATATCAAACAGTATTAGTTTGATTGAAAATGAAATATTTTCTTCATAAATGAATTGTTAATTAATTTTATGGGAAGTATTTGTTACACAAAACATATAGTATATTAAATATTAAAAAAAATGATTTAAAAGCTTATTATGATATTATCATTACAATTATTTCTATAATATTATTAATTTTAAAAAAAGTATAATTGTATGCCAAATCAAACAACAAGTTTTAACTGTGTCTCTCATATATATATAATTTATCAAACAATCAAATGATAAATTAGTTTTAATAACAACAACAACAATAGTCACTGTAGTAATAATAATGAATTATTAATAATAMTAAAGTCGCTAACTTATGGGTCACTTACTTGGATCAAATTCGCTAAAGTTTACCACTCGTGGCTCTCTGTGGTCGATTCCTCTTGTTTTGCTACCAGTGCTACTACTACTACCAGTCCTGTTATCGGTGGTCGTTCCCAATTGAGTGTCATCTACTAAACAATTATTATCTATTGTAACACTTTTTATTGTCCTTTTATTATTAATATCGCTCTCTATTGTTGTCGTTGTCGCTGTTGATGGTGTTGTCGTCGTCGACAATACTGATGAACTCTCATTGAATTGATGACCACAATCTGATACATTGTTGTTATTGTTATCACTATTGTCTGTATTTGTGTCACTGGCATCATCAGTAGCACCAATTGCAGTGATACTATTGCTGGGCACCTGTACGTCATCATAGATGGGATCTTCGTATTCCTCTACTTCGGGAATGGTTTCCGTACCGATTATAAGTCGGTCGTGCGAATGACTCTTGAAATGCACGTGTTTTCGGTGGCGAATATTTCTTAGACGTGACTCTTTAAACTCTTTGAATGTCCTGAGATAGTCGCACGTGACGTCGGTTGACGGCGCGGAGGACGACGACTCACTTAACTCGGGTTTAGTTATGTCGCTCTCGCTTTTCGATAGATTATAGTTAGTCTTCTTCAGTATAGACTTGACACCAGAGTTTAGTTTGTCTTTTAGCTCGCAGTGGAAATTATTAATGTCAGGTACAGCCGCTAAACTAGGCTTTAACAAGTTTTTAGGTGTCGCGAGGCTTACGGGTTTAGTTGTAATTATTGGTACTTCAAGTGGTGGTGGTAACGGTGGAGGAGCTGGCGGTCCATTACTCAACTTATTATCAGCAATTGACACATTAGTTGTCTCATTTGATGACTGTGTCATCAATAAGTTATTAGTTGTATCTTCTGTTTGGTGACTCGTATGCAATCTCTTTGGTGGCAAAGGCGGAGAATATGAGAGTTTCAAATGTTTAAAATTATCAGAAGAGCTGATTTCGGGCGCCGACCGACTATAGGTATCGTCGTAGTCGTCTTCGTCTGTAAAATCGTAATCAGGTTCGGGAACAACAATACTTTCGTCGGATGACATACCGCCAGAGCTGGCACTCCACGAACTGTTAGATGGAGTACCAGTGCTCGAGTCCAATGTAGCGAACGTTTTTGTGTCGATACTAGCCCTCAATTTAGCGGATGGCAGCACAAAGTTGACACCGTAGCCACCGATGCGGACACTATTAACACTTAATGATCCACCCTTTGACTTAAGTCCGGTGCCGTTATGGCCATCGAATGACTTCTTGTTTTGTGATAATTTGTGACCACTTTTTCTCACAATTGTGTCGTTTTCGATGGCGTTATCACTAAGACTATCGTCGATGTCTTCCTCCTCCACCTCCTCTTCATCTTCAAACAGCTGTTCTTCTGATTTCAGACTCTGTTTGATGAGATCATAGGCACTGACATTGCACTCGAGTATCGACTTTCTCGACGCAACCGAATTGTATATATCTGTCGACGATTTTCTGAAAAACTTAAGGAACCGTTCGTTAACTGTCGACGCAGTGGCCGTTTCGGAYTTTCCTCGCTTATGAAAGGGACTGCCGTTCAGTGTAGTACTGCTTCGACTGCTTTTTATGGCATTCAACGCAGTCGTCGTTGGCTTCTTCCTCTTGATGTCCAAAAGCGAATCACTTGACTTACTCTTGATGTCAATCGGCTTATCTGTGACGACCTCTTCGTCCAGAGAATACAAATCCATTCGCGACATACGTCTCGCATACAACTGGTCAGCATTGGACACAGTGCTCGGCGGCGACGCTAACATTGGCACAGATTTCGATGACAAACCTCTCAGTGATCGTTGCTTATCTTTGGCAGAGCTGCTGGTGCTATAGTCACCATTGCAGGTGCACTCGCCGGCTAAATGTTGAGCTGACTGTTCATGAAATGACTCCCACGGAGTATAGAACAGACTGTTTCGCTGATGGTTCGGCCGTTTAACTGGAGAATGACTTCGGATGGATGCGTGAATCGTTGTGGTGGTCGTTGTGGTTGCTGTTATATAGTCAGGTCCGGGCATTGGACTGGTTGGCTGGGCGTATGCATACGCTATACCAGTGGCCGCCGACATTGAACCACTATATCTGTGTGCGGCCATTACGGGAACGCCTGGAGAATCGGCAGGTGATGCAAACGGATAGTTAATTATACTATTCTGACATTGTTTGGTCTTTTTCTTCCACGTAAAGATATTTGTCCAGTGATTTGACTTTTTCAGTTTTGCACTGTTAGTCGTATTATAGCACGTGTTGGCCGGACACGCATTATAGTAGAGGAACTGGTTGTTGGCGGCCCGAACCGTGTCGTATATCTTGATCTGGTCGTCCATTATTCACAATATATATTTTTCGGTTATGTCCAACACATTAACACACAAAATATGTCAAATCAATAATAAGTATCGATAGACCAAAGTTGATAACACACACGCAATCTAATCGCTGCAATAATATCGATGATAATCAACGTGTGATGTCTTAATATAATGTGAAGATCAGTCTCTCAATCTTCAAGTCATTGTTGTGTGAACTCTATTATGCAAATCAAGAGAGAGAAAGGGGTTAATCAATTGGTTTCTTGTAATCATTTTTTAGAGGGGCTATGAATGCCAAAGAAAATTATAAAACTATTTGTATTTATAAATAAAGTTTTTTTAGTTGTTTTGTTTATTATAATAATAGTAATAATAATTGAATGAGAAATTGAACTGAAATTACTTTTTCCTCATATAAATAAATATAGTTATCGGTAAATAATAACTTATTTACTGTTAGTCCAACAATATATAGCCATTTAAATATCGTGATTCAGATATGGAAGTAATAACAAAAATTTCATAAATATTTATACATATATTCATACAAACATATGTAATATATATATATATATATATATATATATAATTTTTGTTTTTTTTCTAAAAACTATTATTGGTGTTCATAAAATAATACATATTCAGATATATTCAGCAATCAAAAAATATTTGAATTTTGTTTTATTACTCCTATAAATATCCATATATTTTTAATAATAGCATATGTTGGTGTTATTATATTCGTATAATTTATAGCACTCATTCAAACTACATAGTTTTAACAATAATATTAATAATAATAATATCTCAATTATATCAAAAGCAAATAAGAAAATAACAATAAATACATGAATATTTTTTTAATATAAAAGTATTTGTATTTATAATATAATGTATTTGTGTGGATGTAAGTTATAGTGAAATTTCGAGTATATTAATAACTAATACATAGATATCTAAAGTTAGATAGCAAATGTAGTGCCGATTGGGACACGACTTACATGACTCGGCACTTGTATTATATAAAACGTATATTTGATATTATAGAGAGTTTAGGAGGAATTGGTGCCAACAATAACCACAGCATATGATAATAAATTAATAAAAAATAATATACACAAACACATTGTGTGCTACAATAAAAATTAATATTTTTAAAAATAATATACTACACAATAACAAATATTGAATATAATGATGATAACATAATTTTTTAAAATTGCATTTTTTACATATAAATTGCTTGTTTAACTCTTTGCCTATCAATAGCCAATTTTGTTAACTAATATATACCATATATAACTTATATATAACTGTTTATTCATTAATAATAATAGCCTTGTTTGTACAATATATAGACATCATTCAATCGATTTAATGTATATTGACTTTTATAGCCAAACAAATGAATTTGCATTTCAAACAAAAATTTTAAACCAAAAAAAAAAAGAAATAATACTAATATTACAGTATCTAAGAAATAAATTTTATCTATAAAAATGGGAATTACTATATTTTTTTGAACAAATCATATCTGAAAATTTAATCATCAATTGTAATGACCTTATTATTTAGTAAATGTCTCGCAATATATATATATATATATTATACTTGTATATATCAGCACATTTACCACCAAATTTTTATATTTACATTCAATATCATTTGATGATTGATAATATTAGTCATACTAACAATATATGTACATGTATATATATATATATAGGTATAACTAAAATATAGTATATATATGATATATAAATATAGAATATATAAGACTAATATTTAGTATAAATAAATTACTGAATGTGTGAAACAAAATATTTGTCACTAAAAGAAATAGTGTCACAAAAATTGTGAGATAAGAGATGGAAAATGGATTTCTAGAGTGAAACTTATATTTTGTTGTAATGTTTTTTTAAATAGTTATTTACAAATAAAATAATATAAATTACTTATATAGTGTATATGATACTGTATTATAATTATATATATATTTTTTTTATTTTCGAAACCACTTGTTGTAAAATTTTTAAAAATGTAAATAATATTTCTATATATTTATGGTAATTACTTAAGATTTTTATTCCCACTCAATATATGTTATACTTTAGATTTGAGTTATCAATAAATCTAGTTATTTATATACAGTATATAAATATTATATTATTAAAATATATATAAAAATATATACAAATTAACTATATAATTGACGTATCATATTTTATTGAAAAAAATATGTAGCTCTCAATTAGTGGGCAAAAAATGGTCATTAAAAACATACATTCATTCAACCCTTTTTTTGGTTTCAACCAACAAAAAAACCAATAAAGAGATTTAAATCAAATATTCAAAGCATATATTTAAAAAATTAAATATAAAGCAAATTGATGTCATATTTAATATCTCATATAACATTATTTGATTTAACAGATTATTATAATAATAGTTATAATAATTTAATTCCGATTTATATCTCTTATATTATATATTTTTTTATCTATATAAATAAAAAATAAATATAAGGTATATTTATATGGGAGTACTATTGGCTTTATTGACATTCAAAATAGTTTTTATTATTACAGAAATAAATATAAATTTATCTTAATATTACATTTATAGAAATGAAAAATTAGTCCCACTTTTAAATATATATAAATATAGTGTATTTATGTTTGTATTATTTCTTCTTATCTAATATCTAATAAATATATTGAAAAAAATAGTTGAATAATAAAGAAAAAAAAATAAATATAAAAATTTATTTCCAGTGGTTTTTGGGAGGCAATTCAGGCCAACAAACTTAAATGCACACAAATTTTTATTATTATTATTTGTTATATATTTATATTTTTGATACACTTGTTATGTTGAAAAATTGGCATTAATTTTATATAGAAACCCGATATCATTAATTTTTAATATAAAAATATATATGATATATATAGCAGTTATATTTAATTTCTAAAATTGATATAAAACTTATACACTATACTAAATTGTATAAGACATAGTATAAGACATAAAAAATCCAATATTAATATATCAATAAAAAATCATAAAATATAATTACCAATAATATGTCGTATAAATTAAAATAATAAATTTATTAAAGTTAAAGTAATTGTGAAATAAATGTGGGAATAAGATTTATATATTGCAAATACATAAAAATCATATTAAATATATTGCATGTACAGTATATATATATAGTATATGTAATTAATGCTATTTCTGGTCACTAAAATGTCTATAAGTTTGTAACAAATATATGTACCAATTGGTTATTAATAATAATTAATAGAAGTTTCCCACCCAATATTTTATGGACTTTAAATTAAAAGTTTTTTTTATAAAAATTATTTCCATATAATTATATACTAGTGTTTGAAAAATATTAATAAATGTATATTTCAGTTGGTTTATCACGAAAGTTAATAAATAAATTTTCAATATTATTGAAGCATAAAAACAACAAATACATAATAATAATAGACAATAATATTATGTCATTTATCTATAGTTAAAAACCATAGCTTTTTCCCATATATATAAAATACTATATTATAAGTTTTAATGACATACTGTTTGTCTTAGAGAGCAATTAACTTGAGTTTAACCACTGTTTGTGTGTATGTGTATAGTCAATGTAAGGGCCCATGTAGTAGATGTCATGGAAAGGTAGGGAACGGTAGGAAACGGAGAGAGACAAATGGGGGCAAACATTATTTAAAGTTTGTCTGTATGTATGCGTTGTTTGGGGTCTTAATCTTTCATCCGATGTCATGTCTCCAAATGACTGGATATACATATATCAAAAATATAAGATATTGTTTGACTACCAGTGCCTCTCTTTCTTTCACTCACTCACTTTAAAATATATTGAATCACAAACTAAAATAATGACTGTAAGGAAAAGTTAGTCAAAAATCGTGTGAACGAACCAATTGAAGGACTTTCTCATCACATGAAGTCTATCCATACATTCAGTATATACAACACATGCCGTGCCATTCGCTTAGATAGCCTTTTCCATGTCTTTCCTCTCTCTGTCTGTCTAACCATTCCATTCACTTACTATCACTAAATGCCATAAATAATAATATAATTCATTTTTAATTCACGTAATTAAACATTTAGGAGCAATAATTTTATGCTACTCTGAATTGTACACATTTTTATGCATGTCTTTTACATTAATATAAGCTCTCTCTCTCTCTCTCTCTCTCTCTCTCAATGTCTCTCTTTTCTCTCATTTCTCTATCAATTTAGTGTCTCTCGTGTCTGAAGCCGAAGTTCTTTAGCCTTTCAATGAGTGAAATATAAGTGAATGAATGAAATGAATCGAAAGATTGAATGAATAAATAAGAAAATACACGAAAAATATTATTTGAATTGAATTGTATTGTAATCTAAAAAAATCGTAATCACAAAAATGAAATGCCATTATATTAAAATATGTGAGACCAGAAATAAATATACTCAACAATTTTATATATATATAATATTTATTAAATGCTATTGTTTTTTCCATATCTCTTATAATTTTATTTCATTATTATTTTTGTGCAATTATTCTTATAATTGCATTGATTTGTGTTGTCATTGTACGAATATTAAATTCAATTTTATTATTATTATTATACTTAGTATAAATTTTATATGATATAAATTGTTTGAGAGAGAGAGAGAAAGAGAGARAAAGAGAGAGAAAGAGAGAGAAAGAGAGAGAAAGAGAGAGAAAGAGAGAGAAAGAGAGAGAAAGAGAGAGAGATTGCATAAATAATGACAAATTAAAAGGTTAAGTGAAATAATTGTAATACAGTAATACAGTAATAATAATAATAATAATAATAATAATAATAATAATAATAATAATAATAATAATAATAATAATAATAATAATAATAATAATAATAATAATAATAATAATAATAATAATAATAATAATAATAATAATAATAATAATAATAATAATTTTCATAAGAACTAAAATGAAATATTATTTATTGTGAGTTACTATTATGCAAAACAAAACTTTAAATTTGTGACAATTGAATAAATAATTATAATTAAAAATATAACAACGTATTGAATATGTATTAAATATAAAATTGTATATAATTTACAACAAATTTAAATTAATTTATTTCATGTAATGGTAAGAGTAAGAGATTGTATAATTTATAATTGTGTAATAAAATAAATTTATAT